ATTCGTTCCCTGTAGGATTGTAGAACTCTTAGTGTACCCTATTTAATGTCATGCAGCCATCAGAAGTGGCCCACCGACACTGGGGATAATAGCACAAGGCCACTTCTCTTGAAGGCTGAGCCCACATTTTCCATTTAGGCCAAAGCTGTGTGAGGGTTGCAGGTCTGAATGCCATCACTTTGCCATACTTCTTGAGGAGCTGTGCTCCTAGCATGGAGAGCCTTAAATATTCTTTGAGCCAGATTAGACTGGAAATATCCCAAGAGTCTCTGTCCTACCCTTCTTGATCTGTGTAATTACTGACTGCAAATGTCTAAGATGTCAGAGGTTGTGGGAATATTTTTCTTTTAACCCTAACCTTCCTTAAGGAGCTTTCAAATCATATCCCATACTTTCTTCCCTTCGGCATGCTAAAATTAGTAACATGCAACCCTGCCCCTGTCCACCTCCATGCCAGCCAAATGAGACACAGCATTCCATATCACACCATGTGATACTTGAGTCTCAACACTGTACATGGTCATCTGTGAAGTGTTTACCATGTTTGCCCAGGGACCGCTTGGATGAGCCCAGCTGACCCCAGAGTCTGGTCATTAATAGACCCCTTCCTTGGTTCTGTGTTCCTGAGCCAGGAGTGCTTGCCTCTAAAAGGGTCATCCTGCCACTTCCTCCAGGAGTGACCACTCAGATAATATATCAGGTTTGCATTAAAATTAGAAAACGCAGCAAGGTGAGCCCCGGAGCCTTTTCAGGCTTTGCCTATCACTGACAATAACGTGGGATTCCACATGCTGGAAAGAACAGTCCTGGGAGTAGGCATGTTGTACACATGCCACAGTGGCTGCAAGGCTCTTTTCTCTTACCACTTGGCCAGAGAGTGAAGCGGGCCTCATGCTGCTTTTATATTTAAATCTCAGCTGCAAGAAGGCCTATTCTTGCCACCCCGACAGCTTCAGCATTAGATTTCCTAACCCATTGTTTGGGTTGGGGGGGGGGCTCGGTGTCTTTTTTCACCCTTTCCCTTTTGACACTCTTCATTTCTGAGAGCCAAACCAAACGCATGGGCCTGGCCGCCACCCTGCCCGGGTCTGTGCTTCCCAGAGTGCTGTTGTTGTGATAGATCCCTTCAGCAGGAGGGAGGCTTTCTTTCATTTTGATAATGGTGGGCAAGTCTCATTTCATCTCAGTTAGCAGACAGTGAAAGATAAAGCGAGGTGCTGCCACATCAACTGAGAAACGAGACTCAGAGTTCTTGGTAGTTGGAAATGTTTGTTAGAACATGCTACTGCAAGCCCACATACACCACGTCCCCAGTTTGGTAACCTGTCCTTGTGACCACCTACCCCCAGCCTCAGGACTGTGCTTCTGTTCAGTAAGCCACCAGAGTTTGAAGGGGACAGTATGCCACAGCTTCTGAGGATGTTTCTCCATAGGAAGTGATTTCCATTCTCTTGGCCCTTCAAACTCAGTGTAATCAAAGCAATGTGAATGAATGCCCTGTTGAGTTTCTGCTATTCCCACTTTTTTTTTTTAACATATTTTTTTTGCGGCTTTCACACCATGCATCTTGATCCCATTCATCTCCCTTTCCCTTCATATCCACCCTCTGCCCTTACAATCTTCCTCCCCGCCCCCCATCATGGAATCTGTAGTGAGACACAGTAATTCTCACAGTAAACCCTTTAGTCCATGTATCTTTACTTGCAAGTATTCACTGCAGAGTCATTAGTCTGGTTTGAGGCCTCTGGTTTCTGCTTAGTAACCAGTGACAGCTTCCAAGACTGGTAAACAGGACCACACTGTCGTTGTCGTGGGCACCGTGTGCTTATCCCTAGGCACCAGATCGCACATGCAGAAGACTTAAAGCAGTTAGACTTGCCGCTTTCATGCAATCCAATCTGCATTTGGAAATGTTGGTTTGTTTTAGCAGAGTATACACTTTCTGTTTTCTCTTCTGGAGGTAATGCCTCTGTAGTCATTTTCCAGTTGTCCCTCTCCCAGTGTCTGAGTGACAGCCTGAGTAGCTAGAACGCAGGCATGCCCCACCACACCAGTTCTGCCATAAAATCTGGAAGAGCAATTTTTGAATGGATATTTACATATAAAGGAAGTACGGTGCTGTGATATGGAGCTTCAGGTTACAGAAGGATCTGGCTGGCTCATAGGAACAAACCTACTTTTGTAGGTTAGCAAAAACTGTCCTGTTCCAGGAGTGTTTCTGGTGTTGTGTACATGCAAAGATTTCAACATGCACAAAGAAAATTAAGTCTAGAGAGAAAGCCATGGGAGCACGCTACCTACAGAAACCAACCAACAACAACCAAAAAAGCTTAGTACCTTTCACTATAGTACTTGCAATAAGGGTCAGTCTGACATCCTGTAAAACAGAGTGTCTCTCAGCTTCCCTCACTATAATGGCTGTGTGAACCTGTCACCTTACAGAGGGAGGAGGTGTGCTGGGTTCAGCTTCAGGAGTTGCGCTCATGATCTGTAGCAAGGCAATTCTACTCTCTTTGTGCTGGAGCACACAGAAAGAGAAAGATCAGCCCAAAGTCCTACAGTCCCCTACAAAGGCACACCTCCTCCCAGTGACCTGTGACCTTCAACCTCTTAAAGGTTCAGCCATCTCCGAAGTAGTGCTCCCACCTGACTATGGGTTAAACCGCCTAACACGGTGGTTCTCAACTCTCCTGATGCTGCGGTCCTTTCATACGGGTTCCTCATGCTGTGGTGACTCCCAACCATAAAACTATTTCTGTTGCTACTTCATAGTGTAACTCTGCTACCGTTATGAATTGTAATGTAAATATTTTTGGAGCTAGAGGTTTGTCAACCCCCGGGTTGAGAACTGCTGCTCTAAAACCAGGAACTAAAATAAATAATTCCTCCTTTAAGTTGTTCATGCATCAGGTATTTTGTCCCAGCAATAAGAAAACTCTAATTCAAAGTCCAGTGGACACCATGTTATTAATGTAGCATGTTAGTGTGTTTTTACAGTTGCTTACTGTCTTAAAAATATCCCCGTGGTGCTGGGGGTGGAACCTGGTGGTAGTCCAGCATGCACCAGGACCTGGATTCTGTCCCCAGAACCCCCAAACACAAGATAGAATTTTTTTTTTTCTTAGCTCTTATGTTTACACATCAGAATAAATTTGGGATTTGACTTGGAAACATAGTGCACTGTTTCCAACTAACAGTTAAAACAGTTAGGCTCCTGTCTTAAACCTTTTAAAGGTACACTTAGATTTAGCATGGTCTAAGTGGCCCTGGGTTTCCAGGTCATGGTCAGTAGTCAGCAGAGGGAGGGCTGTTAGTCTCTCCCTGACTGCCACACTTGAGAAGCACATCATTCTAGCTCATTCTTGGCTTAGAACATCTAGAGTCTAATGCACAGTGAGACCCTGAGAATGCTACACTGCCCTTTAATCTGCTTTTTCTGGGTGATTTATCCAGTTTATGACAGTAATATAATAGTTAACCTTTTTCAGGCATTTTTGGTGCATTTGGCATTATCCTGTCCTTCAGCTGTGATTGTCATTAAGTCCTGTAAAGCAAGTCTGAAAATGTTACTGCTGCATCTTATGGAAGAGAAGACTGGCAGAAGGGATGTCAGCCAGTAAAGGGCACTGCCCCTGAGACCCAGGCGTCCTAACTGTGTTCTAAACTGTACTGACACGTCTCGCGTTCCTACCTTCCTTTCCTGGAGCGCTACCTGGCATTTAAAAACACCCATTTTCTGTCTCATTCCTGGGCTGGCACTGTCACAGTGGTTTCTCTTTTCCTCACAGAACCCTACTCAGACAAGGCTGAGATGTGTGTTTGCCTCCCCTACCCCTGGGTCCTCCCTCTCTCTTAGCCCTGTTAAGTTAACATTCCGAGTAACCTTCTCAGAAGTTGAAGGCAGTCTTATCACCGTGCCGTTTCAAACTGGAGAATTTCCTTGTAGTTTGCACGAGATTGGGTTGAACTGTAGCTTCACACACAGTCTCTTCAACTCCATCCTCCTCTACCCGCAGCCCGCTGTAGGGTCCAGCATACTGAATGGAGTTTTGATCTGCCTCTGATCTCCCAGATAATCCCACTGTGGCTCTTGAGACCCAGATCCTAGCCACCTTTAATGACTCCTCCTCAGACTCCCCAGAATGAATCAATTGTGTGTTTTCTCTCACAGCATGTCCTCGTGCCTCTGTGGTAGTTATTGACATGTTTGCTCTGCCATCCACCTACAGCGAGTTCCAGGACAAGGGCCCGATCCTGTTGTCTTTAAACACCTCTCGTACTGTAGACACTCAGTAACTGTTAGAGGTTTAGGGAACTGTCCAGTGGATTCTGAAAACAGCAGAGCATTGGGAATGATGTGTCTCTTCTGAGCAGTGAGCTATGATACCTGTCAAATAACTAAGCAGTCTAAGGGCCCTGCTGAAACACAACCATGTGTAGCAAAGGGAAATCTCGCTTGGGCAGGAGCAGCACATGGACTGGAGGTCCTCAACCCATTTGTGCTGTGAGATCAGAATAGTGGACGACACAGCTGTCCCCATGAAGTCAGCACTATAAGTTATAGTGGTTGGCCTTGAACTTAGCGATGGGTCTTATATTCATGGTGAAAGTCTAGGAACTTGTGTGGTTTTTTTTTTTGTTGTTGTTGTTGTTGTTTGTTTGTTTGTTGGTTGGTTGGTTTGGTTTGGTTTGGTTTGGTTTGGTTTGGTTTGGTTTGGGTTTTTCAAGACAGGGTTTCTCTGTGTAACAGTCTTGGCTGTCCTGGAATTCTCTTTGTAGACCAGGCTGGCTTTGAACTCACTGAGATCTGCCTGCCTCTGCCTCCCAAGTTCTGGGGTCAAAGGCATGTGCCACCACTGCCTGGCTTGAAACTGGTGTGTTTTGATAGTTCATTTTAATGCAGGGAGGTCAGCCCTGTTTGTCATTTGTTTCCTGATGAATCCCCACTCAACACAAGTGAGTACACTCCGCCTGAGCGCTGCCTCTCCTTTTCCTTTCAGCTTCAGAGTGAGCTGGAGAAAGTCGAAGGGGACAATGCAGAGCTGCAGGAGTTCGCCAACACCATTCTTCAGCAGATAGCTGATCACTGCCCTGACATCCTTGAGCAAGTTGTCAATGCCCTGGAAGAGTCCTCCTGAGGTGCTCCAAGGAAGGTGACCAAGGAGCCAGAAAGGAGACCCTGAGGAGCAGGGTCTGAGCCGCCTCTGTACCAGACCCTGCTGGCTGGAGGTGCGAATCCAGCCCATCTGTGTCTCTTGTCATGATCTGCCTTCTGCTTTGAATGTTGTCTCTGCACACATCTCCTTGGTCTCCATGAAGAGCTGCCCTTGTCATCAGCAGCCGAGAGCTGGGGAGGCCAGCACTCTGCCCTTCCAGGAACAGGAAGCCAGAAGCCCATCTGGCTCATCTGGAGTCCACGCAGAGTTCTGTGCTTTGAGAGAGCTCAGTGCTGAAGCATTGGAATGCGTGCTTTCTCCTCAGAAGGTAGAAAGTGAGGGGGCGGGGGGGGGGGGGCGGGGACGAAGAGAAGAGCGCTCCTCTGCGTTGCCCCTCATGTCTGCCAGCCTCGCTTGCCGATGACCATCGGGTAGAGGCAGGCCTCGTGCAGCTTAGCTCTGGCCTGTTGCCTGTCTCGGCTGCACAGCTCTCAGCTGACAGGAGGATAATGTACACAGTGTCACCCGGCTCGCTCTCGTTAGACCCTTGGCCTTGCCACGCTTCACTGTTGGGTTAAATGTCTGCCCTGAAGAGAAGAGGGTTTAACGCCAAGGCCCTGCTGTCACTGCTTGCAGCTTTGCCCCTCAGGAGGGGCCACGCTGACCCCTCCTGAACATCGCCCGCAATGCTGCCTGCTCCCTCCCCCTTGCCCCAGGCTACTGTAGGGCAGGGGTTGCCACACCATGTGCCAGATACCATGCCCGCCTTCTCAGCTCTGCTCTAAAGGTCAGCCTCAGGGCCGCAGCCTCATGCCCTGCCTGGAAACTCCTTTTGGCACAACTGAGCTTGTCTTATACACATTCCTCCCTCCATTCATTCATTCATTCATTCATTCAAAAAATATTATGAAATGCCTGCTGTGTGCACTTCAGTGTGTGAGGCACCCATCTTTAGAAAAGTCTCTGATAGGGAGAGGTGTGGGAATCCTGTAAGACACGCTTAGTTGAATCATGGTGGTGAAAGCGTGCCTACCTTCTCTTTTCTAGACCAGCATCCTTTGTTCCCAGTATTGATTCATCCGTAGGCTTGGGTGGCTGAGCCACCTCTTTGCCTGCAAGGTCCCATTTAGCAATTCAGGGTCTTTGCTGTCGGTGTTGTTACCCTGAAAGGTGTTCTGTACCTGTCCATTTGTGTCAGCTGGCTGTTAACACATGCATGCATACCACGCCATGCTGAAACCAGGTGCAGATGACAGCTATCATAAGCAGGCTCTGAGAAAAAGACAGTGTGGCACACATCTGGCCCTTTGTCCCCTGACGCAGATACCTGGTGCTACCATCTTCTGATGAGGCCGCTGAAGTTCTTTGCCTTGTGTTCCCTCCTCTCTGCCCAGCCACACTCTCAAACGAATTTAATGCTGCCTGTAAATCCCTCTCGGCCCTCAGCCTAGGACACTCACAGCCTGCTTCCCTCCTTCCCTGCCATAGTGTTTCCTTGTGTGAGATGCTGAGGCATGTTCCTCACAGGGGTTGAATGAGCTCTACCATGAGCCGCACTGAGACCTTTGCAGAGGTCCCAGCCTGGCCAGGAGCATGGAGACATGGCCAGAAATGAGGGTCAGTGCTGCTCCGTTCTCTCAGTTCTTTTTGTTAACTCCCCATCGGTCCTGTAGAAGATCTCAGTGTTTCAGGATAGGAAAGTCAGACTCTGATTTTTTTGCCCAGAACATCAGGAACCACCACCAAGTAACAGATTCACAGGCTACTGACACTGTCCAGCTCTCTCCAGCTGCTCTGGGAGGGATCACCCCAAGCAGGTGTCCTTGGTGTTTGCTAGCAAGGGTCACTGTCTGCCACTCGTACCTGCTTCCTTCTCTCTACTCTAAAACTTTCCCCCATCAGGTTCCTCCAAAGAGGCTTCAGGAGTCTTCTGGGCCACATGCTTGTTGGGAAGGCAAGTTTGTAAGATAGACATCGTCTGATCTCTGCACCATAGCAAAGGGATTTCCTCCTCAGGTGTGATCCAGTGACTCAAATGCTTCCAGAGGCTGTGGAACTAAAGTTGAACCATAAACATGGCCTTTGTGTTAGGGGAAGTTAATAGGTTATCTGGCATTCAGATATTACTGACTTTATGTCATTCATTGGGCCAATACTTACCTAACTGCCATTGCACTAAGTCGTCATCCCATGGCTGCCTTCATGCACTTAGGTTCCCCAAGACATCTGGCCTTGATAGCTCACTGCAAGTTGGTTAGGATCATCCCCATCACTTCATTCCATTACCAGACCTCATACCCTTTGCACCTGAAACACCTCTACCCCAAATGAAGGTCATCATGAAGATGACAGTAAGAAATGAGGGCTGGAACCCAACCTGCAGCCCCTAGCTAATGCAGCACCATATGAGCCCTGCGCTCCTCAGTAGGTCTGTGTCCTAGGTCTCCGTTGAGTGGCTGGTGGCACATATGAATGGAATTGGCAAGGACTTAAAGACCATTAAAGATGGAGAAGTCCGAGTGGGCTTCAGCAGCCGGAAATGTGGAGGGCATCCTCCAGTTCCTGTCAGCCTTTTTTCTCATTCATCTTCCTGAGGCCTGAGCGTACCTCTTCCTCACCTGTGGGCCCTAGAAATTGCAGAAAAGCAGGCTGGACGACGGTTTTGCAGGTCATGCTGTGGCTGGCCACATCCCATCCATGTTTGGCTTCCTGGGAAGAATATGTTGGCTCACTTTCTCCCTCGCGAGAGATGAAGTCAGCGCAGATGGTTCTCACGTGCTACTGTCCTGCCCCTCACAGTTGACACTGGGATTGGTTTGGCATCACACCCTCCTGTTTGAAGCACAGGCCCACTGGCCTCCCTCCAGGTCTTTGAAGAAGGGCCAAAGCAAGGCTATGTAGACTGTGACACTCACAGGCCTAAGTCCCAGCAAGCCCCCTGTCAGCAGGACCGGTAACGCTCAAGCCCGCCTCCCCAGCCTCACCTCCTGCCTGCAGAGTCCAGAGCCCAGGAAAAGGAGCAAGAAGGATGAGGCAGCTCCACAGGCCTGTTGGGCACCCACCGTCACTGCCAGTCTCGGAGCTTTTGACCATTCAAAGACATGTTCCCTCCTGTGAACCAAGACATTGTTCAGGGAAGAAGAAAACGTGACCCGGATCCTTCTGAACAAAATGGCTGTCTGTACTCTTTTTAAACAGAAACTTTCCAAACTTTTTAGTGTCAAAATTGTAACCAAGTGTCTCTTGATTCCTCCCACTGTGTTTGGCAAGTGCTGTGACCCTATTGTAGGTATTTCTCCTCCTGCCTCTTTTGAGGGAGAAGTGATTTTCGGGGTGGATTTGGGGGAGCGGGTTATCTGTCCCATCCTGTCACCTCTCGTTTCTCTGCTTTGTCTCTGATATTGTCTGTGTGATTCAGAGAACTGGGGCAGTTACATTGTGTCCATTGTTGAGAATATTAAAATATTAAAAAGTAGTTATAGAACTGAAAAATTAAAGAGCTGTGTTTTTAAAAATGCAAACCCATAAATAATCATGTTAACAAAGGAATTCAAGCTATGGGCAGCCTCGCTCCTCCCCTCCAGGTTGGTGAGGTGGTAGCCAAGCAGCCCTTGGGAAACACACTGACCACACTTGAGGTAGGTGACTGCCTGGGAGCAAGAGACACCTGCTCAGTGGAGAAATGAGAATCTGGGCCTCCAAGCCTCTCAGTCATGTCAGGGTTTTCTATACATCCTCAGGACCTCTGAGTAGAGACTTCAAAGTTGGTGACCCCAGAACCACCCTCACCCTCACATTGGATCAAGCCTTGTGTGCCTAGTGCTGTGTGGTAACTTGGGCTTGGGCCTGCTTACCAGGCCACAGGTCCTCTTCCTGCCCACTTGGTGCTATTTTATCGTGACCATCCAACAGGGCAGCCTGGTCTCCAGAGCCTGCAGCCAGTACCGAGGATGGCCCTCAGAACCTGACCCTCTCTGGCTTCAGATCCTAGATTCTTCCCTTTGAAGCTTTTTAGACCCAAACCCCCTTGGTTCCAGAAATGCCAGAGTCAAGAAAGGAAGTGAGCCAGGCTGGGGCAAGGAGATCCACCCCTATGCCACAGTGAGCACACCAGCCCGGCCCCTCCTCCCTGCCACGCCAGTATTACATCCATCTCTTAAAGCATCTGGTCCTGCCTGAGGCACATGCCCTCCATCGGGCCAGCTGCCCAGTGCAGACCAGAAACCTGCCTTGCACCGCAGGCTGTCCCACGATGGGGACTTTGCTCTGAACCCCTACTTCAGAAGAGGCATGTTGCACTTTAGCGGGGAACCCAGAACGCTGGGCACCGGCTTCCTGTAGCTTGAGTCCCTGTAGAGAGCAGTGGTGGCAGCCTGATGGCTTGTGTGAAGCAGCTGCAGCTGCTGGCCTCAACTGTGCATATGCGTGCAGTTACTAGCGTCGAATTGCCAGCCTGATGATATTACAAAGACATTGTGTTCTGTTCAACTTTGCCTTGGTAATTATTGTAAACACTTTGTTCATTTTTTTTCTTTCTTTTTTATTCACGAACTAAATTCATCAGGAAATTATAAACTTATTTCAAAACTGTGTGCTGCAGCCTTCTTTAGTCTCTGCCAGCCTGGTCACACCCCTGTGATGAGACTGGTTATGGTCTGGGAAAGCAGGAGACCAGCAGTCCCCAGGAGGCCATCTCCAGTGGCAGCCCACAATCTGTGCAGTCCAGGTTCAGAGAGATCCACAGCAGACTGACCATTTCTAACCCCCTTTTTCTTTTCACCCTACTCCAAAGCAGTGAGTGTACATCCGATCTGAGTACATTATGAAAGTGTCCATCACCCAGGAGGAATAGGATAGTTTACACTAAGATGGTAGAGGACGAGATGTGGCCAGAGCTGGGATTCCCACTTGAGGGTGTGTTCCGATGGCCACCTCAGTTGTGGGCTGCTTCTGCAAGTGCATCATGAACGCCAAGAGTGAAAGTCAGGAAACTCATGCATAATTGTGGATGTCATTGTCTGCTCTGGGACATCCTGAGACCTTATGCCCATAAGAATTGTTCTGGGGC